TGAAGTGATGAAAGAACTGTGGAAGATGCTAGGCATCAAAGTCAAGTTCCATGTTGGCTACCACCCACAGGCCTCAGCCCAAGTGGAGAGAGCAAACAGAACTGTGGTAAGTATTTTGAAGAAATACGTAGCCGCAAACCACAAGGACTGGGACGTGAAACTCCCTCTGGTCCTCATGGCCATAAGGGCCACTCCACACACATCGACTGGCATCTCTCCCTTCGAGATGATGATGGGTCGACAAATGACTCTCCCTCTACACCTGTTGTACCAACCAGGCGATGCCGCCATGACAAGAGCCTACACACCACAACAATACATGAATGACTTGGAAGAACACCTTAAAAACGCCTTTGCGTTTGACCAGAAAGACCTGGAAAAATCCGCTGAAGGACGAAAGGCGTACTATGACCAAAAGGCCTCTCACGAGGAACTCCAAGTGGGAGATAGGGTCTGGTACTACACGTTCGCCCCCACAACTGGGAAAAGAGTGTCTGGGACCGGAACTCTCGCCCGCAAACTGATGCCCAGGTGGACTGGACCCCAGCTGATAACAGACAAACTGTCTCCAGTTGTCTATCAGATCAAAATCAACAAAGGCCAAAAAGAGCCAATTGTTAAATGGGTACATCGAAACCAGGTTAAACTACACAAGGCATTCAATAACTCCACAGGAGACAAAGATCTCACAAACTCAGACCTCATGGGAAAAAGGGTCGTCCAAGCAGAAACTAAATACGTTTAAGCTTAATTAAGTGTTAAGATAACAACTCAGACGCGATAACGTGATCAAATCTGACAGTCAGAGTGAGTGACGCACTGAAATGTTGTTTTCTAGTTGCTTAATCACTACTTTTGTCAATGTCGAAACGTTGTTTTTCTGGTTGTTTTATCACTACTGTTGTCAGGGTTGAAACATTGTTTATTTGGTTTTGGTATTGTTTCTGAACACCCCCACCAAGAATGAATTTTGTGTGTACTTTAGTTAGAGACTATGAGGACTTTAACTATGCCAACATGCAGTTCATTTGTTAAACTTCAACCTTAGAGGAGTCATTGTAGATTAATGCTACCTTAAGTACAATAACCTACATTGGTCTCACGAAGCTCAAGCCGAACCTACTCGAACAATCCTATTTTTGTGTGTGTGTGTGTGTGTGGGGGGGGGGGGGGGGGCTAGCTAATCCTTCAGTTGAGTCTCGCCATAGACTCAAAAAACATTTAGGGGGAAACCAAAAAACCAAACCTCAAGTCGTTCGTCTAAAGGGACAACAGACAATTGAACCAAACTATATTTTGCCATTTAAATCTAACTTAAACCAAGTTAGGAATGGAAAAATAGTTTGGAATGCCCTTCTATATGTATAAATCCCTATATATATAATTTTTTTAGCATGACCCACCCTGTAATTGGTATCTGTAGCTGATCTAAACCATGATAGCTTACATACAAGGTGCATATAGGTTAAGGTCTTATGTAAAATCCCACTCATAAGCCCAACTAAAACCACATAAATGCATGAACACAACGAACCAGAATGGCATCCACTGGGAACCACCAGCAGCAACCTTCGCTGAAGGGACCTACATCTCCAACGTGGGTCTCCAAACTACATCCAGTGGTCGCCTCTGCAGTTCAATCAAGGGAACCCCTCTACATGCTGATCAATCAACACCTCCAATCATTGTGGATTTATCGTTGTAGATTATATGACTTTTTCCAATGGATTACAGACTTTGTTTCCAAGGGGTTAAAGCATTGCTGCAATGGAATTACCAACAACATAATGGAATTACCAACAACATTGTGGAATTACCTAAACCGTTGTGGGATTACCTTCTTTGACTTTTGTTTTCCTATTGCTGGATTACATCAAGCTCAAGGACATTCGGAGGCGTAAGTTCATGTTGGAATTCATCCCCATGGACAGGCGATGATTTCCAAAGGGGGGACTGTAGTGAACTAGGCCTCCGACCTCAACCTGTCTTTGAAGACCTTCAGGGGACAGGAACTGTTATTTCATTGATTTGAATCCAGAAATACAAATTATCTCATCAAGAGACTATTTAATTGTATCCTGAATTAAACAATTGAAAGAACACTCTTCTTTTTTACATATTCATTACTATTTTAGAATATCTTGATAATCAAATGTGTATTTAGTTCATACCATTTCTAAATGTTAAAGTGAACCACTCATTTAAATCAACTGTGAAACAGTATTAATGATTTTTAAACCTCAGCAGATTTTTGGTCATACAGTTTAAATGTCTATTTACGAAGTAAGTGTGCATTTTAGTTTTCTGTCTGAATGAGGAGTAGTGATGTCGGTCGAAAGTCAGAGACAAACAGAGACGAGTTATTAGAACAAAGTGTCTTGTTTTTAAAACTAGCAGACAGTAAATAACTTCAACTGACACCTGCGTTTGTCTCACTTCGTCATAACATTTCTCCGTCTGTACTAACCGTTCGTAAACATTCCTGCTGTCTTTTGACTCCTAGTGACCCTCTTGACATCACTAGAACCACCCCCCTGCTGGTTGTTTCAACCAATCAGGAAGTGCCACGGAACAGGAAGTGTATACCCCTTTAAAAGGAACACTTCGTGGAACTATTCAGTTCGATGCTGGAAGTTGGATCCTGGAGTTCAGTCCTGAAGTGCAGTCCCTGAAGTGCAGTGCTGGAACTCAGTCGGAGCCTTAAGTCTTAGGGCTAAGTCTTCAGAACTTGGAGCGGATGGATGGGACCGTGTGCCAAGGGGTCCCTCCCTTTAGCAGAGTCACGGCTCGCATCGCTGTGCACTCAACCAGAGTAGTAAATGCTCCACTTCTAAGGAAGCTTATTTACACTGTAAAGGGTTCGTACTAATGGACTTCTGTTCCGGAGTGGAGGTATCCCCATCTAAGGTAACAAAGTCTCTGCACGTCCTGAAGTGTACCGGAAAGCTGAGCGGGGTGTCGGAGGAAAGGTGCAAAGTTCTGGTTTCACACATAGCTTCCATCTAAACCTCCTTTTAAATCTATGTCTCTTCTTTAACTTTTCTATTTGCCAGTAATCTAGATGCCTTCAGAGGTGAATAAGCCTCGATCAGTAATGTTCTGTTGTCTTGTTAGTAAAGCGTGCCAAGTTTTTATTAATCAGAAACAGATCAGCAAATCAATGTGTACATGTTTTGATGGTAAATTTTGATTCTGTTAAATAAATGACCGCATTTATTCTGATGGGTCAAAGATAAAATGGCGTCTCATGTCACTGATTAAACAATCCACTCACAGTTATCTCGGTCACATGGCATTAATTTAACTCGAAAAAGAAAAGAATACGTTGTAATTAACAATCAATATTCTTTGTGCTTGAACTAGCTTTAAGAATAATTATTTAGTCGTGTGTCTACAGCAAAGCTGTCCTGACATACTACAGTGTAAGGATCTGATCAATCCAGTTTTCAAAATTTTAATTGAAATATTTTAGAGGTTTAAGCCGCAACGAACGGTAAATCTAAAATATTGCAGTGGACTCCATTAGCAATTAGCATAGCTAACGCTAATGGCCCGTTTAATGACACTTTAAATGGTAAAAAGTCCTAATCTGATTCACTAAGGCAAACTGACAGAGTCGCGTCTTTATAGTGAAAATGTAACGGTGAAAAATCCGTTTTTAAGCCGTCCCAAAAGGCGTTTTTGGATCGGTAATAACAGCTAAGCTGAGAAGCTAAGCTAAGCTACAAGACCACTCTGGCTAAAGTAATTTAATTGGAGGGTTAGAGACTGATTTTTCCTCTTAAAGAGGTGGTGCCTGCATAACGAGGTTATTTGCATAATAAATGCATATCTTATGAGCTTAACTCATAACTAATAAATTATATAGATATCCAATCACAAATCC